TTTATAGTACTAGGTTGTTTTTAAATTCAAAGCCCAATTCTTCTGTTTGCTATATCTGTGATTCTCACACCACCAGAAGTTGTTTTCTGATTAACTGATGGACTGATGCCTGTCATCATCTGTGCGTGCCCCCCAGAATCCATATTAGAAAACTAGTCCCCTCTGAGCTAGTGTTGGAACAGAGGTAAGTAGGTCATGAAGAGGATTAATGTTCTTCTTGAGGGACTGGATTAGTTACCACAAGAGCAAGGTGTTATAAAGCAAGTCCAGCCCCTCATGCTTTCTCATGTATGAGGCAACTTGCCCTTACGCTTTTCACCAAGTTTGAAGCACCACCAGACCCTCTGAGGCTGGACAGACGCTAACGCTATGCTTTTGGACGTCCAGCCTCCAGAACCATGATCTAAATAAACTTCTTCTCTTTATAAATTTCCTAGTCTTGGGTATTTTATTATACACTGAAAAACAAACTAAGTCGATGGTTTTGTGTGGCTCCTTTAAACCCTTTTCTGCAATCTGAGGAAAAACCCCCTCCATGGTGTTTATGGGGATCCTGGAAAAAGGGGTCACACTGGAAACATAAATAACATAACTACCTGTAAAATCTGAAGAAGTGCTACCTTGTAAAATATAACTTTGAACTTTCATGGCTCCAAACAGAAACAAGAATTCCAAGGTGTCCCCTGAAATGGTTTCCAAACTTACAAGTAGGGAAACCTCTGTCCTAGGTCAGTTGCAGGTTAACATTCGCACTTTGGGGGATTCTCTTCTCCCTGAGTGTGAACAATCAAAGATCCAGAATCTTCTTTTCTACAGCTCCGTTGGAATTTAAAGAAATCAGCCATACCAGCTTGAACCACAGAAATTTGCTGAACTATTTGATTTACAAAAGTATGTACAACAAACTGATGGAGTTCAACCTAATTTACGCAAATCTTTAATAAGACAATTCCATTATTGCTACAAAGTGACTGAACAAACCCACCCTGGGTCAAACATCAGCAGACAGGCACAAGAATTGCTTGAGTGATTATTTAAGTATGCAGACTCCTGGGCCCGCCCCTTGAAATGCTGATCAATGCTGGAGTTGGAGGTGAGGTAGTTCAGGAAACTGCCTTTCTAAGAGGCTCCCAACTATGCCAATGCAAAGTGTGAAACATCTCTCTAGATTCCCCTGGACCAAAGAATTTTCCACCCCCAAGTCCTCAGAAGACAACCCCTCAAGATGTTGCAGTCTCAGAGGGCACCCTTAGGGTGCTGCATGCGGGGCACTACAAGGACCTCTGCTGGAAACGTGGACAAGGTCACAGTTTCAGATCTCCACTCTGTAACTTTCAGCTGTGAGACGTCTTTTGACTATTAGCATTTTGTCTGAACGACCTGCCTCTAATTTTTGTTTTTTCCTTTTTTAAATTTTGCTAATTTTGTTTTGTTGCCTGAAATTAAGGACTATTGCAAGGGGTCCTGGGTCACTTTTTGAATGGCTGCATACGGGTAATGGCCCAGCCTTCTCCTTCTGTGCTCCAGGAGAGAATTACTGGGCTCCACTTGTTGGTTTAGAGACTATTTATAAGCATGCCTATCTCCCACATTGAAGTTCCAAACCAAAGCCTCATTATTTCCGCTATGTTTGTTTTGCTGCAGAATGGTAACATTTACATGGAAATGGCCCCTTTTCTCTATCCTGTAATTTGGATTGTTTAGTTTTCCTTTTTGGACTTCTTTGATGCTGCTGAAGAAAGAAGTCCACAGGAATCTGGAGAAAGGAAGAGAGTGGGGTGCCGGGGTGGAGGAAGCAGCCATGTGGTCTGCTTCTCTGTCTCTTGGCCTCCACCACCTCTTCCCTTAGCAGGAGGAAGCTATCTCCATCCTTTCTCTGCTTTTCCACCTCCTAAAGTTGAGCAGAAATCCCAGCATTTAAGGTTGGAGGTGAAGATTTATACTGATTCAAGATGGGACCTTGTGCCTCCTTACCTCTCAAGGCCTTGCTTCTACATGAACACTGAAGGTGCTTAACAAGATGATCTGTAACCCAATTACTTTCATACGCCCAGTGGGCTGTCATGCATTCCACAATGAGATGACAAAAGAACAAACCCTTTACTAACCATATGACTTTGAGCAAGTTATTCACCTCTCTGATGACAGACCACCAAAATGAGTCGTACCTCTCCTTTTTCTTTTTCTGAAGTTTAAGTTTCTTCTTCATACCTAAACATAAAAATAATAATCAATGTGTATTCTCCAAGTTCTTGAGTTCCATAGACGAGGCCATCAGTATATGAGATAGTTCAGAGCCTTTTCAAGGCTTTAAATCCACTCACATCCCTATCAGACCAACTACTCCCAATACCACACCCACTAGCCCTAGTTTAACTGCAACTTTAGAACCTAATTAAACCTATGTTTGCCTTTCCTCTTTCCTTTATTTCTTGCTGGAGGGTTCTATGTGAAATTTAACTCCAACTCCACTTATACACTCCAGAGAGTCACCTACAAACATCTACAAGACACAGAGAAAGATGCCTCACTCAGAAGGATACACTGAGGCCTTGATTACCATAATATATAATAAGAAATAAATGTCCACCAACTTAAAGATACAAACACACACACACACTGGGAAGTCCATTTAATGGAATACTATGTAGAAGTTCAAAAGACTGAGGTAGATCTATAATACACTACTAATATGGGAAGCTTGATAAGCTATATTATTGAATAAAAGAAGCATGCTCTAAAATGATATATATATAGTATGTTATCTCTTACATAAAAGTTAAACTATACACCTTCTAAATATAGACACACACATATACACGTATAAATGCATAACAAAAGTTTGAAAGGACACATACAAATTGGCAACATTGTTTACACCCAAGAAGGGGATAGTCAAGAGACTTTAGATTATGTGAAATGTTTTAATATTTTTACTCAAATATAATCATATATTACTGAATAAGTTTCAAATTAATTTCAATAAATATAGACCCCTAAGTATATGAAAATAGCATAAAAGTGGAGGAAGGAGAGCTTCCTGTTGTAAGGTTTTGATACCATACATGAAATGGTATAATATTATTTAAATACAAGTATTTAAAAGAAATGATAAAAAATAAAATTATATTTAAAAATAAAAGAAATGATAAGGCTAGAGAAGGAGCTCAGTGGTATAGCACTTACTTGCCTAGTGTACATGATACGCTTCGTTTAATCACCAGCACCACAACAAAGAAAAAAAAGCAAGAAATGATAAAGACAAATGTTAAAGATGAATATTTTAGTCCTCAGACATCCATATCAAAAAAAGTTGAAAAGTGGGCCAGGAATTTAGTTCAATGGAACTGTGCCTGCCTCACAAGCACAAGGTCCTGAGCTCAATCTCCGATTCTATACCAGGAGAAAAAAAATATATTGAAAAGAGTTTTAACAAATAAGACAAGAGCAAAGGTGAAATAGAATCATAAAAATATTCAACACAAAAGAAGTTAGGCAGAAAACAGAAAAAAAGTTAAGAACAGATGCCACCGAACAACTAGCAAATGATAAATTCAAATATAACCACATCAAAAACAACAATGTAATTGGTCTACACATCCCATATTAAAAGACAGAGGTTGTCAGATTGGACTAAAAGGCATATTCTGTCTAGAGAAACTCACATTAAATATAAAGACTCTTGAAGCAAAAGGAAGAAGTCAGCATTTAAATAAATACCTCATGGCTAATTTTCACCTTCAAAGATTATGGAGAGAAAAGTTACCCAACAGTAGAACCTGGGTGAAAAGCTGAGGAAAACTCTTAAGATTTTGAAATAAGACAGTTCAGAAGCAAGTACAATTATGCACAAAAGTGTTAAGCAACACCTTGGCATATCAAAGACAGAAACAATTTAAGTAACAGAAAACTTGAACAGTAAACATTAAAAATTATGTTCAGGGTAACTCTAAAATGCAGAAAATGCCTTTCCATATATATATATTTTAAATAATGTAAAATGCACAGCAAAGTCTGAGGGAAAAAAATTTACCAAGATGTAGCAGGACATGTTTTTGCAGTTAGGAGTCTAGGGCAGTCTTCCATCTATTCTATTTGCTATATAATACTTATTCAAGAGGAAGAAAAACTGTTCAAAAAATCCAAACAATAGTACTCCCTTCTGACTGTAGTGAAGACCATTCCAGACTTCCTAATACAGGGTGTATCATGCAGGAGGACCTCAGTAAAAGACAGCTGTGCCGACACCCAAATTTCTGTGAGGGCAGCTCCCTGGACTGGGCCCCAAAGCGCCATCCTGTAGGCCGGAGGACTCACATCCAGCCCTGGAAGATGCCAAGCTGAGTTCTGCAATGTATCCCAAAAAAATCTGCTCCGCCTCCTCAAAAGATGCCTCACTTCCGGCCACTGACAGCTTCCGGCAACTGGTGATGATGTCCCGGATGTAGTCTCCAGCTGCAGTCCCTCACCCAGGCCATGGCTCCGACACCAGGGACCTCTGGTAGAGTCTCTCACACAAATATTCTGCCCAACTGCTCCCTCTTAGTTTCCTCAAAGGATTATCAACCTAGGTGGAAGGCATCAGGCCAGTAGTATCATAAGGAGGGTCGTTGTCCTTAGGGAAGCTGATGAAGTAAACCAACATCACAACACTACGAAATGGGAATTGGGACTGGAGAAGCCAGGGCCACAATTCCTTCAGGGGAAAGTCAAGAAAGTGCTGCTGGGATAGAAGAAGAAGA